AGTCATGCATTAAATACTGGCTGATCAATAGTTTAAAGTAGCCACAAGCCTCCCACTCAGAGCCTGTCAAAACAATTCCATCCCTCACTTCTCTGCCACTGGTTGTCACAGCTGTGTCCTTGAGACACAAGTTTGGACAGTGTAAACCCAGAGTAGTTGAAGTTCAAAGGAGAGGCAAGCCCTAGAGCTGGTAACTTTATTCTGCTTAACTTCATCTTGAAACACTTGAAGTAACATTTTTTTTTCCCTGCTGGGAGTACCCAAAATACTAGTAAAGATATAGGCCATTTAACATTGTCCAGTTTGAAATCCAGCCTAGTTTTCTTAAGCCTCAAATCTAACAGCTTCAGGGATAATGCATCTTAAAATGACACAAAGTACCATTTTGGAGGCAAAGACCTGGCCTGTCCCTCCCAGGCAGGCCCTTGGTTAGGGTTTCCTGTCACTCCCGTGGAGCCACCTGAGGCTGCCATCCCAGATGGGCTCAGGTGCCTTTTCCCGTACAGAGAAGGCTGCAATTTGTCAGTGTGTCCACCAGAGGGCCACCAACCGCCGCCCTCCACCACCTCTTGTCAAACCTCCGTAATGTCCAGACTGGGACTTGTGCCTCACCCATGCCTTGGCTGCCTGAGGTTCTCTTCTTAGGTACGTCACGCGTTGGAGCAGATGTGGGGGAGCAGAGACTGCCCTGGTCCCAGCGGGATGCATTTCCTATTCAGCTCCCTCATTTTCCCTTTCACGGGTTTATTTTTGTTTAATTATAGTTGACTTGAAAAATTTCCAAATGGAGAAGCCAAGTAGGAGTGCGTGTGTGCGACTGTGTGAGAGCACAAGGGCGTATGTGTGCATTTTGAAGGTGCGGTGGCAGGAAGTGGGGACATTCTGTTCACATCAATTTATGCCTGATCCTGCAGTTTAAATATTATTTAATGTAGAACTTCAGAGCTGGAAAAAGACCTTGGAAAGAGAACCCTCACCCTCACCTGTAACTGAAGAAACCAGAGTAGCCTTTGCTGCTTGCAAGATGCCTGGAAGGTTCAGAAACTTTAGGAATGTAGTTAATAAGAAGATTTTATTAAGGGGTTTGTGATAAGATTTTATTTTGGTATTCCATTCTTCTTCCTCCTTTTTTAGGCCCCACCTGAACCTTAAAAGCTGCAATAGAGCACAATAAGGCATTTTTTTTTCAGTTTGCTATTAAAAAATATTTGACTCTGGTTCTACCCTCAACTTTGGTCTTTGGATCCTTTCTAGACTCCATGGAGCCAGAGGCTGGAAGGAGCTGATGTGGTAGGAAAATGACCCAGGAAGATGGTGGAATGATAGAAACCCACTCAAACTCCTAATCACCAGTGCTATTAAAATCAATCAGAAATTTCACTAAAGAATTTTCAGCAGTACAGCAGAGATCAGTCACTAAGGTAACAAGGGAGAATGCATTCAACTCAGAAAATTAATGTGGGCTCTCTGAAAATGCTTTATCACCCCAAAAGACCGAAGAATGTGCAGTAAACTCTATTTTAATTAATCCTGAAAAAAGCAACTGCAGGAAACCACACAGAATTCAGGAAATGGTTGGAGTCTCTTTCAAAGACATGAAGTAGCCACTATCCTTTCAAGTAAGAGAAGGTAAGAGTAAAAAAGAATGACGAATTCTTTGTTAATGATCATTGATATGGAATTTTTGAGATAGAATTTCCTGTTAGTGATCATTGCAAAACATAAGCTGAAAATGTTTAAATGGCACAGGCAGAAATGGCACTTAAATCATTAAAAAATTTTGAGCAATAGATACAAACTTTTGAGAAACAAAATTGAGAAATGAGACATTTCAAGAGGCAGATCTGGGGGATAGAGTTTAGCATTTCAATTACTGAATGGTTCGACTTCCTGAATAAGCAGCCAAAATAAAAGGCTCTACATGAATAATTAAAGATGCAATAATACATTTTTCCAGAGCCAGTAAGAGATCAGATTTGAAACAGAAGAGTCACATGGCCTAAGAGGACACTTATGAACATCTGGGGAGTGACTTGCTGTTTACACAGTTCTCACAGTCATACACCTTTCCACCTGATTTTACCATAACTACGTGAGGAGGACAGGTATTTTTATTTTTCTATTTTACTGATAGAAATTAACTCTGAGAGGTTAAGTGATTTGCCCAAGGGTTATAGCTGGTAAGTAAAGAGCCCAAGTTCAAGTCCGGGTCTCGCTCTCCAAAATGGGAGGGTCTCGTGTACATTTTAAATGAAAAGGAAAATGCATCTGCAATAATGTGTGAGAAGAGAAGACCACCGTTAAGGAATGTAAGTGAGAAGGACTGTTGCCTCATCTGGGAACAGAACCAGGGCTCGGTGCACGTGGATCGATGCCACCAAGGATGGGAGGGAGGAGTGAGGAGAAATGAGAGGAAGAACGTGTCCACTTATTCTTGACCTTGCCAAACTGCCCTTCATGTGGAACGTGACAAAGACACACCAACTCCTAAGGTCCTAGAAATCCAGCCTTTTCCCGACAGGCGCTGAGGACTGCTTCCGCAGAAGTCTGCACTAAACGCAGGAACCCAAACAGATGCTGTGGACCTGAGTTACCTATTACAGAAACACATACATGAGAACAACATGCGAAAGGGCGTTCTGCTGATAAGGATAATTATTGTATTCAATGAAATAAAAGTAAAGATGCCTGCTCCTGCTTGTGTGATGCACTGCAAACTGCGGTCACCTTTCCAAGAGTTTCCCGACCAAATGCGACACCAGCCGCCCCCCAGATGCAGCAACACCCACCACCCCAGGAAGTGGTCCCAAAGCAATAATTCCAAGAAGAAAAAGTTGGAGATGGTTTTACTGATATTATTTATAATAGTGAAAGTTTGAAATAAACCCCCCAAGTCCCAATTGCATTTTAGCCCAAATGGATATTATGTAGCTATTAAAATAATGAAAATGAAATAGTATATGCAACCATCAGGGGAAGTAGAATTAAGTCCTTTTATAATATTGTGATTAAACAATGAAAACCTGCACATGTCACAAATTAAAACACAATTTAAAGAAATCACATGTGTTCACCCAGGGTGGTAGGACTGATGCAGGATTTTAAAAATTTCTTTAAATTAATTTTAAATTTACAAATCATTAAGAAATCACCAATCCCCCAGGTCAGGGGCTCACGGACTCTATCTGGAAAGATGAGGAACAGCTCACAGTCGCCGTGTCAGGGCACTGGGAGCCCGTGGGCCTGGGAAACAGGCATAAGAAGAGACTTAATTTTCACTCTGTACCCTTTGATGCCCTTTGAATTGTGTATCCTGGGCATGTGGCACCAATTCTAAAAATGACACTTAGGTGCAGTGAACCCACATTGACTACATTTCTGATCCAAAAATTGGGCCAAGCGGTCTGATGATGGGCCAGAAGAGCTGAAATCCGTGTAGTCTTAGAAAATCCAGAAAACGTAGTCGTCGTGCCGAACAGCTGTAAGGGTGGGGGTGGAGACCGCGCTGAGGCTGGGAAGATGGCAACAGGTGGGCTGGGCCCATCTGGGAGCCCGACAGAAGTGGTGGGGGCCAGGATGAACCTGGGGGTTGAGGGCCCCAGGGGAGGAAACCTGCAGAGCAAAAGGTGAAGAGAGGCAGTGGCAAACCTGCAGAGGGGAAGTGTGTGTGGTGGCTGCCACAGGGTGGAGTGGCAAGCGAGGGGAGGGCCCTGGCCGGGGTATACTGCAGACAGAAGCCAAGGTGTAGGGCGTGGAGCGCGAGTTGCTCTGGCTGGACCCTCTGCGTGCACAACGTGAAGAAGCCAGGAAGGCTTCTGGGGCGCGTGGCTGAGGCCAGCGTGAGGTGGCAGGGAAGCAGACACGCCAGTTTGGGCTCACGGATCGGGGGCCAGCAGTGGTAGGGCAGCTGCGGATCCGCACAGTTTCTTCTCTTGATCATTGGTAACGTAGGAAGAAATGGAGTAGCCATCAGAGGCCCAGGTTCAAGTCCTGCTTTGGGGACAAGGTCTGTGGCCTTAATCTCTGTTTCACCATGCTCAAATACGGGTAGTAATATCTGGAGGCAGAATGAGGAGGCAACAGAGCGGCCACCTGCAAGAACTTGGAAAAAGGAAGAAGCTAAGTGCTCTCTGAGCTGTAAACTATAATAAAATCAGTATAAAATAGATCAAAGCAGAGAAGTGCCATGTCACTTTAAGGGGGCAGAATGACTCTCAGGCCACTTGAGACTGATGAAGTTTGAATGAAGATATATTAACCTGTTCATCAGAATAAGAGCTGAGGAACAACAGACCCCCAGGGAGGAGCAGCAGGGGTCCATGCTGGTCCGTGACCTGCTCAGGTGAGGGTGCTGCAGGCAGGTGCGATAGTATTTCTGTGAACAGGAGTGCATTAGGCTACTCTGGCCCCATCAAACATCTGAATCGTGGTAATGTGCTCACCCAGTAACCCTCTCCTGGCCCCTATTTGGCTTGGCTCATGGCCTGCCCACAGGAATAAAACTTGCTATTATAAGATGAGAATAACTGGTCCCTTCGAAAATTACTTCTCATTGGTTACCAAAATAGTGAGAAGCACTGACTTTGGAGCCAGATTCAAATTCTCGCTCTGCCACTTTCTAGTTGGTGGCCTTAGGCAAGTTACTGACCTGCCTGTGCCTCAGTATCCTTGTCTGTAAAATGGGGACACTCATAGTACCTGTTTCCTACTTGTGAGGGATAGTGGATTAAGTCATCGAAGAGCACTCAGCACCTGGCATGTAGGATGGCCTGTACACGCGTCTGGGGTGTTCCTGGAACAGTTCTGACTTGGCATGCTGGCTTATGAACATTACACCCTGTGAGCGAGCTCAGGGTGTTGCCGCCCTAGAGAGAATGTAGAACTGGTAGAACTCTCTGCACAGGTTTCTCAACCTGTGAACCTGGGAGGGAGCTGTTTAGTCACGGTGACTTCTCCAAAGTAATGTCCTGTGGGGCCCTTAGGCAGGGACCCAACTGGCCGCCTCTGGGGAAACCCAGCTTCTTGTGTTCTGCCTTGTCTTCCACACTCTGATGCCACTTGGGCCTGTTGGGAGGCTTGGGCGGGCTGTCTGCGAGGCCCTCCGAGAAAGCAGGCACTGGATGAGTGAAGTTGCCTGCCTACCCCTTACAAGGTAACTTGGCCCTTGTCCTCCAGGGCTCACTGTCCCCTGGGGAGACAGACATCCAAGGAAATCACACAGCTGCGTGGGAAGTGCTGGGCTGCCCAGAGGCAGGAGGCATCTACTGAGTCTGAGGAGAGAAGACAGGGAAAGTTTCATGTGGTCTGAAGAAAATTCCGAGAGTTTCCTAGAGGGAGGGCTTTCCAGGTAAAAAGGATGTGGTTTGTGGGAGTCTGAGAAGGGTGAACAGCCTACAGGTGGCTGCAGCTGGGGTGCGTGTGGCAGACGGTGGGGGGGGCAGAGACCAGACAGAAGTTTGACAGGGGCCACGTCCCAGGAGTAAGAACAATGCAAATGGTGCTATGCTAGTAAGTTTTGATTTCATCTTACAGGCGATGGGGATCCCCTGGAAAGTTTCAGGTAAGTGAGTGACTAAAAGGAATTTGCATTTTAGACATGAGATCCTTGGGAGCAGGGGAGGTGTCTTATACACCCTTGTGTCTTTAGTGAGACACACGTAAACCTTCTTCATGGCGAGAAATCAACACGTGGTGAAGGAGCGACAGACACAGACACAACTGTGGAGCGCAGCCGGGTGGGCGTGAGGGGCGGCCGTCAGTCAGTAGTCGGGGCTGGGGGGAGAGGGTGTGGATGGAGGTAGCCTAGGGTGTGAGGAAGAGGTGACATGACATTCCAGACTTGTGAAGTCGTATCCGACTATTTTGACTGGTTGGGAGGAGGGAGTGATGGATGGAGATAGATGACTTCATGGTTTCTAGCTAGGGGGGTGGCCAAGCTATTAAAAATAAAGATGAACCGGAGGAACAGCTGATTTGTTAAAGTTTAGGACAACAGCACAGTACGAAGGGCTCAGGAAAGGGTTCTTTGTCCCCATCATTTTGCCTGAAAGCAAGGTGGTCATCCTTAACACCCTGATCAGCGCTCTTGACCTGCGAGACCTAACTTTTTTCAAGGTAGGGCTAAAAAAATCACCTTACATTTTTCACTCACATATTTTAGGTCATCCCAATGAAGGGACATGTCTGAAAAGGCAGCTATAAGCAAATTTATTTTAATTTAGACATTAAAAATGCACAGCTGAGCGGAAGTTACGGAGATTTCCCACATACCCTCTGCCTGCAGGCACGCATGGGCCCCCTTCCCATTACCACCCTCCCCCGAGAGGCACAGTTGTTACCATCTAAGGAACTGCATGGACACATCATTGCACCTGGAACTAAAGCCCCTCTGAAAATGAAAATAGAGTGATCACAAACCCACAGAACTCTATACTGGAGTGTGTCTAGGTACACGAGTGTGCACTGCTGTGCGCTGTGGGGACCCGCAGGGCTGCCGGATGCCTGGCCCCAGCCCTGGGCCTGCCTCTAAGTAGCCGGCTCTCAGACTCGGTGCCCAAGGGACGGAGGGTTTCCACGTTCCCCAGGGTCTGGACGCTGTGGCATCTCAGTGGATTCCCCTAAGCAGGGGCACCAAAGGTTGGCACTGGGGTGCATAGCTAAACCGCTTATCCCCTGCAGGGGGCCCCTTTATGCACATCTCACAGGTGGCAGCGTACAGGGTGGGCACTCTGCTGCGCATCTCCACACCACGCCTCTCCACAGGAGGTCAGGAGGCCCCACTGACTCCGCTCCCGAGAGTGCCAGCCACACCTAGTGACCTTGGTTGGTGTCCCCCTGAGCCCTGTACCGAATAGCTCTGCTGCTTGTTCTGGATCCTCAGGAAATTAGTGATTTCTGTAGCTGAGGAGGAAAACTGGGTTCTGTGACCAGCAGCACTGAAGTCCATTTCAGCTAGCAGAGGATAATGCACTGTTTTATCTCATGACGCATATGGTGTAATAGTTTCCACCACCAGACTCAACAAAGCTCTAACATTAAATCTAAAGTAGCACAGGGATTTTAAGAAGACCCTGTATCATCAATTTTAGTCATATTGCCCCCATTTGCAGAATCTAAAAGACCATTATTTACTTTTCCTACATTATTTACTTTTCCTATTATTTTTCCTTCCTTCCTCCCTCCTTCCCTCTCCCTCCCTTCCTTCCCTCCCCCTTCCTGACTCCTTTTCTTTCTTCTTTAGAGAAGAAAGTGGCGGATGGAGAGAGAGAAAAACACTGAGAGAAACTGGTTCGTTGTTCCTCTTCTCCATGTTTTCATTGGCTGATTCCTGTGTGTGCCCTGACTGGGAATCAAACCCTCAACATTGGTGCATCAGGACGACACTCCAACCAACTGAGCCATGGGAAAACCCTTAGATCTCTTTGTCCCCAGGTGTCCTAAATAATGGTGGTGTGTTTCCTCTGTAATGACATGGGACAGGCTTTCTTCTGCTGACTTTATTGATCAGGTTGCATTAATGGTAGTGGTTTGTTTGAAGTAGATTTTTTTATGTGTATGTTTGAGGTAAAATTCATGCAAAGAGATAGGTGAAATAGTCCTCTGGGTTCTTGCTGTGACCCAGAAGATTTTATCTTTTTTATTCCTGTTTCTTTTCTTTGGGAATGAAAATAACGCAAAAATCTTAGTTGTCTTTGTACTTGGTCCCATTACTGGGGATCAAAAAAAATCTCATCAATGACATTACCAGGCTGAATGATGTATATAATTATGAGAAACAGTTATATTAATAAAACATTTATTTTGATGAAAACTATAAATGCCTATTAAAGCACTTTGACTTTTTTCCCCTGGTAACTGCTACCTGAAAATATCTCTAAATATCATCTGTAAGGCAAAATGTTTTGGAAAAAGTGGAAAGTTACATGAGAAAGTGCATAATCCCAGATCAGCTGAAACAAAAGAGCCAAAATATAGAAACAGAACGTGTGTGTGTGTGTGTGTGTGTGTGTGTGTGTGTGTGTAGGCCTGTATGTACCTGCCTAAATAAATTACATATGCCATACACTTCCTTCCTTCTACCTTGCAATAGAAAATACTATTTTCTTGTATACCCAGGAACACAGTCAGTAGTGATGCATTTCTAGTGGTGTCCTAGACATCTTGATAAGGTTGATCAAGAATGGGACCCTGTGGTTAAGCTTAGTCTTGGTGGCACAAAATAAAGGAGGCAGCACAGGAAGCTGTGGCTGGGTCCACGCGCTCCCTCTGTCTGCCCTGTGGTTCTTGCAGAGTCAGCCCGGGCAGGTGACAGGAGCGATGGGTGGTGTGGGATCTGGAGATGCGTCAGAATCGAGCCTAGACACTGTCAAGTAAAGTGTCGAGAGCTCTGCACCCCGTAGAACAAGGAGAAAAATGCTCACCAACCCATTCCTATTTTACTTCGACTTCTAAGTATCAAGGAAAATTATTGTTATGTGTTTTTCTGGGAGGAGTGATGAGAATGTGTGAGGTGGTGAGGGGGAAAAGAAAGTGGAGAAAGGCGTTTGCTACAACGGAATGGGGGCACACTGGGTGGCTTCGTGGCTGGCGGAGTTCTTCTGGCGCTGTGGGAGGAAGAGACTGGGCATCTGGGGACCTGGCTGGGCTCTGCCGCCTGCCCGCGACACAGGGAACGGGTGGTTGGGGCTTTCCCTCCGGACGGACGCGGTTATCGCACAGACCGCCGGCAGGGTCGGAAGCACTGCTGTGGTGGGCGACTCGGAGAACTATCACTGAGAATGGTGTGTAACGGGACTTCCTTTTCAGTCATGAAAAATCTGATAACCAAACTTATAATACAATTGATTAAGAAAACCAAAAGACCTTTAATGGCAGAATGTGTAAAATGATGTATTAGTTATAAGTACCAGTATCTTTCTAATTACTGTGCCTTTCTTGGGCGTATTAAATATGTAACCTGTGAGCTCTCTGGATTGAAATGGGCTTTTTTTTCTTTTTTAAATGGGCCTTTTTAAGGTAGCTTTCTGGAAGGAATGTTTTCTTTCCCTCTTCCCACTACTAACCTGAAGTTGTACTATAGTCATTCTTAAAAGAGATTCAAAAATTTCCTTAGATGAATTGATCTCTAGCACAATACAATGTTGCATTTGTTAGCAGCAGGGGGCTGGTCCAGAGAAGGTAGGACAGGAGGGGTTTTGGAACTGGCAAATTATGTTTACGTAGCAGCTGGTTTTTAAAATGTATAAAAGGTTGCAGTTTCATGTCAAAGGTCGCCAAAACATCAGGTGCACATTGTTTGTGGGGAAGGAAATCCATGGCAGGGCGGTCTCAGATGACAGCGTGCAGACTCTTGGTGCCTGTGAAAGCAGCACGTCTCGGAAGCAAAAGACAGGTGGGAGGTGGGGAGGGCTGGGGTGGTGGGGAGGGGTGGGGGGGAAAGGCAGAAAACTGTACTTGAACAACAATAAAAAACAAACATTAGATTTATCTTAGAAAAAATTAAAAAAAGCAAACGACCAGCAGCTGCTGCATGGCCAGAAACGGGAAGGACAGCTTAACCCCTGATTACGTTCAGGCCAAAGACAGGGAAGCTTGGAAGGTGTCAGCCCAGGGGGCTCGCCACCAGGTGACAAGGTCTGAATTTTGAACTGCCCAAAGCCAGAGGTTTTTCTCAACAGCAAGCAAATCTGCTCTTTTCTTAATTTGGGGACAAGTTTTTTTTTTCTTTCCCTCCCTTTGACAAAAGGTTTTTTGATTTGAAATTAAGAATGACCAAGACAAAATATGGCCTGGATTCTGTTTCAACCCACTGGTCTGTCACCCCTGCTGTGCCTCAGTCCAAGTCTGGCGCTTGCCCGAGGCTGACTGCAGACCCCACCGGCTGAGGGCTCTGTCCTGCACAGGACGGCTCCCGTTTCAGGTGCCAGGTACACTTGGGGGTCCCCAGGCCACCTATACTTTTGATCATTGGCTACAAATCTGGAAGGTTCCCATAGCCCCCTCAGATCTGATAATTTGCTAGAACGACTCACAGAACTCAGGAAAGCACTATATTTATGATTTTAATTTCATTATAAAGGATGCAGAACATGACCAGTTCAATGAAGAGACACATGGTGCAAAGTGTGGGAAGGGCCTGAGTGCAGAGCATCCCTGCCCTGACCAGGGGACTCAGGACTGGTCACCGCCCGGGTACGTTGAATCCGTCCACCAACCTGGAAGCTCCCCTGAGGTTTGGCGTTCAGGTTTTATTATACAGGTGTGACTGATTAAATCACAGACCAAGTGACTGAGTGTTATCACCAGTCCCCCTCCGCACCAGGATGTAGGCTGGGCTGATAGCACATTGCTTGAAGTCTCAACCTTCTAACCAGGTGTTCGGTCTTCCTGGTGACCAGTCCCCATCCTGAAGCTGTGTAGGAGACCCTCGAGTCATCTTAGTAGCATAAACTCAGGTGTGACCTAGGAACTCGTGAATAATAAATACACTTCTCTTCCTTGGGACAGTCCAAGGATTTCAGAAGCTCTGTGCCAGGAACACTAGACGAAGGCAGACAAACTCCCTCTTATACCATGGCATGGGAATACAGGCAATCAGGCACATTCTTATGTAGCAAACCTTAAATTTACATATATATAGGGTTCCGATCTGTTTTCCAAACAGTAGCCAGAGTAATCTCTTCAAAACTGGTATCTAGTTGAGTAGGCTCCTGCTTGAAATGCTGCAAGGGCCTCCTACTGGTCTTAAGATAAAGAGTGAAATCCCTAAGCAGGCGCCCCAGGTCTCCCAGGTTGTGTCCAGACTCCTCTGGCACACTCCTCCCCCCTTGCTCTCTGGAGCCAGCCTTTAGTTTCTCCAGTACGCTTGCTGTTCTGGCCTCTGCCCTGCTGGTCTCTCTGCTTGAATTAGTCCCTTCCTCAACCTCTCGGTCTGTGTGCTCCTGGAGCTCCGAGGCCTCTGCTCTTCACCCCACTCTGTCTTGCCCCTTTGCTGTAAGCTCTAAGCTGAGCTGTTTGTGCTCAAAGTTCATCCCTAGCCCCTGTTAAAAGATAAACTGAGGCATATTAATTTTTTGTGTTTATTTGAGCAAAAATCTATTTGAATTGAGCAGTGCCAAACAGGAAGTGGTTAGGAATGCTCCACCTGCAGGACCTCAGGGAGAGAGTGTTATAGAGAAAAGGTGGAAACAAAGCAAGGAATTTATTGATTGGCTATAGCTTAAAGCCTAATTGACTGTGATTGGTTGTCCTTAGGTTTCAATTCTGTACCTCGAGGCATTTGTAGGCTTAGATTTGGGTTTGCTTACATAGGCCATCATGGATTTACAGCCACATCAGTCTAATGGCTTTCTCGCTTAATTCATTTAATGCCTCCAACACCTATCACAGTCCCTGGCACATAGAGGATGCTCAAAATACCTTTGTTGAACGAATTAGAAATTGTTTCTCAATTCGTCCTTAGGGAACTGGCAAAAACTGTCACCTGGGTATGGCTAAGAGGACAGTGTTTTCCTCTGTCTGGATTTCCCTGCTGTGTTTCCCATGTCCTTTGTGTCTCTCATTATTCTTGTCTCTTGTCAGTCTGCACAGAGCTCTCTCAGACACCATGGCCTGTTATGGACTGAATTCATATGTAGAAGCCCTAACTCCCAATGCTGCTATACTTGGAGGTAGGACCTTGAAAGAGGTAATTAATGTTAAGTGAGGTCACAAGGGTGGGGTCCTAACCCAATGTTACTGGTGCCCTTGTAAGAGGAGCAAGAGAAGCTAGAGGTGTGCATTCTTAAAGGAAAGACCACATCAGAACCCAGGGAGAAGATGACCATCTGCAAGCCAAGGTGGACCTGCCAACACTCTGACCTTGGACTTTCAGGCTTCCCAGGTGTGAGGAACACATTTCTGTTGTCAGAGTCCCCAGGCCGTGGGATTTTGCTCTGGCAGCCACTGAAGGCTACTACAGGGCCTTTGCTGATGCACTTGCTCAACGTCTGCTTTTCTGGAGTCTTCATCAGCTGTGTCCCTGAGGAGACTCTGCGACGTCCTACAAAACACCTGCTGCTAATTTACTGTCATGGGGCGGCTCCTGGCTCTGTGTGGTGTGGTGATTGCGCCTATGATGAGCCTTCTGCACTCGGCTTCTTTGTGCTGTGTCCTCTCCTTCCTGCTCACTGCAGGGCTGTCCTGGGCTCTTCCGTACATGCACATTGGGACACTTCCTGTTCACACCATTTAATGTGTCTTGGGCTGTTTCTGTGGAAGATCTCATGCCCACTGTCAGGTGGGTTATTCTCGTTACATATTAATTATTCTGTTGGAAAGCTACAGGAAACAGAGAACTGAGTGATTTTTACCTGAGCACGTGTGGCTAGTTAGTAAAATCAGTGGAATTAGAATACGAAACCCTTGACTTCATAATTAACCATTCTTTCTACTCTACCCCTGGATTGGCTCACATTTCTGAGCAAATGAAGATAAAATTTTGT